AGCACAAATTGGAAAAATCGATATTGGCAAATAAATGTAATAAAGCTTTCGCGTGCCAATTTTGCATTTTCAATTTCAATTAAGTTTATTCTAATATCCATGTTAGTTTCAGAAGGATAAGCCTTCGTTGATACAAGAAACCATAATGAATGTAGTATCTGATTGATTTCTTTTTTTTTTTTTATCCTCAAGAGCTTTGATGTTTGACTTTGACTACAAGCTCCCTTTAAATGAGTCCTCAGTTTTCATAATTGTCGCAATATTTGTTTATATATAGAATTGGACATGAAAATCTAATTCAAATTTAGGCAATATCAGTCTTTTGCTAATGTTCTAGTTTGCTAGTGTACACATTGTTCTTCGTACCTATATGGTGCTATTATTGTTTTGTTTGGGTCAATGTACATTGAAGTAGGACCAGGATTCTTTTCTATATTTGTACTCAGTTTATAATCGAAATMATCGGAAATGTGGTTTTGTCTATTATTACTAGAAAAGAGCGACAAAAATAATACCGATATAATATGCGAGTAATAATAGTTATTCTATTAATTACATCGTCTTATATATCATATTTCAGTTCGGAAAACCAATCATGTTAAAGAAATGAAACGGTTACATAAMTGAAGGCTAGCAGATGGTAACCCCAGGATTGMTTAGTTAGTGTTGGCGMAATAACATCTCATTATCTATTTTGAACTGGGTTGAGTCCACTAMTGTATTGTCATGATGGTAAGGTGAGATTTATAGAAATAAAGTCAAACCAATGCGAGGAATACGAGGAATGTACAGGGTTTTATTTGAAAGTTACCAGATTTTTACAATTTTTTACAAGACTATTTGGTTTGCTAGTAGTAAAACATGCAGCATCGCTTTCCAACTTATTTTGCAGGAAGGTTGAGTGWCAATTTGGACGATTTTGCTGCTTGTATTATCGTCGCTACAGACACGTAAGTGCCGAGTWCCGACTGTTGACTGTTGAGTTGTCATTGCGGTACAGTATCATTCTCATACGCCATATTTTGCATCTCATGCTGATTCGCTGGCTGTTGTTGCCTAATATTACGAGTTTTGACGATCCCTACTTTTGCAAGCATTTGCATGAATCCATGGCGGAAATTCTGACTGAACATGAACACAACACAAGGATTTAAAGCCGCGTTGGAGTAAGCACAAAAAACCGCGATAAATCTAAAAATCCTTNCACGATTTAGAAGAATTGAGTGATGGACGGTACCAAAGGTAGCGGAAAGATCGAGAAACAGCATATCAACACATTGACGCGACGTCTGTCAAGATTTTGTTGAATATCATTAGAAATCCTAAGAAGTGCAACTTCGCCAAATTTTAATCCYGTTAATAAGTAACATTCCTGGCGGGACAGCAGTGGCTGGTACAAAAAGGACAGCGGTATTATAAATTCAGCAACAACCGAACAGAGTTTGAGTAATGATCATTTGGATGAATTTCGTAAAATCAAGTGCTTTTTAGTGACTAAAAGGACATATTCAGTATATATTTCAGATAAGTAAAACTTTAATTTTAATTTGATAAATTAAGTACCTTGTTTGTAGCGTCTGGAAAGGCTTACATAAGTTATTAATAGGCGTTTAATTGATTATGTTCAACTTTTTCAATTACTTTAGAAATTTAGATTGGAAATTGGACGGTAGTTCTTGAAAATGTCATGGTTAAGAGAAGGTTATTTTCAACAGAGGGCGCAGTACAGCAGTTTTCAAACTTGACGGGACATATCCAGATTTAAGTGACAGGTTTACAATGTTACATATAACAGGCAAAAACAAACCAAGATTTCGACGRAAAAGATCAGCAGGAATGGGATAAAGGCTGCAGGACTTAGAAAAACAGCTTTTTGCATAGAACAAACARGCCAAGTCTTCATCATTGACAGGCATAAATGAATCAAGACAGCAATCCTTAGATGGAGAATAGAGATCAAAGAAAACATCAGAATCAGGAAGTTGACAGTTCATATCTGGTAATTAAACTGTAGTATCAATCAATGTATTTAGTCCTGTTTAAGTGCAAAAATGGATGTCTTTATTATTATAGCTGAAGTATTGATTATGTACTCATACAATACTATCGCAGCACTATCACAATAGCTAGTCTCCCATCGCAATACTATCGCAATACTTTGAAAATTTATTACGATGCTATCGTGATAGGCAAAAACTAAAAAGACAATTTAGTTTGCTAGTACCAAAACATGCAGCATCGATTTCCAACTTATTTTGCAGCAATGTTGCGTGACAAATTGGACGATTTTGCTGCTCGCATTACCGTCCTTTTAGTCCCGTACGTGTGCAGTACCGACTGTCGACT